CAATTTTTACTTTATTATTCTTACTTTTCTCTTACTTTACTCTTACTTTACTCTTTATTTAATTTTTTCTCTACGTTATAAAATGAATATTTTGCCTGTAATATACTTCTGCATAGTTCAAACAAACACTTTTGTCTGTTTTCTTTGTTTGCTTTAAAAATTAAATTTTGTACCTGCACTTTACTAAAGTGAGGATATTTCTTTTGAGTAATAAAATAAAAAATTTCATTTAGATAAATTAATAGTAAAATAGGGAAATCTTTTAATCTTAGAGTTATTCATTTAACTATAAATCAAGATGTTCTAAAAGATGGAGTTGATGGCACTTCAAATGGTTTAGTTTATGTAAGGAGAAGAGAAATTTATCAAAAGATTATGAGAAAATAAGAAATGCTAAACTTTACATCTTTTTGTTTCCTTTGAAGGAGATATAGTAAAGTGCCTCATCATATTCAAGGAAAAGGGGATTAGTGCCCACATGGGTCCAAATGAAAAGTTAAATGAATTCCTTATCTTCTAAATGACAGTGGTAGCCAAGATCATAATATACTCTTACGTGCATATCAAATATTCTACCACTATTTAGAAAAAAACAGTTTAAAAGGGCCTGTTGTTGTGCTATCTGATGATCATTTTTAAAGATTTGACTGTGATGCATTGATATTTCTAAGAAGCAAACATATTTGATTTTTCAAATATTTTTGAAATATACCAAATCAAATTAATCAGAAATTCTAAGTTCAAAAGGGCTAAATCTGCACTTTATTCTTTGTTTTATGACAACTGTTACAAAGGTTGCTAACAACTTATATTGTTTGTTTTATGACAACTGTTACAAAGGTTGCTAACAAACTATTGAACTATATAAATGTTTGGCATAAACGCTAGAAAACAAGATAAACTAAACAATATGTTTATGAACTAAAACATGTCTAGCATCTGCGGAAAACATATATAAACAGGGATTAGTTAGAGGGATTGAGATGTAGATGGAGTTGTCGACGATCAGTCTAGAGAAAGTTACCAGACGCTACAAGTTGGACAATCCTGGGTGCAATTGATAATATTCGTTTTGTTATACTGTAGCAGTTTTTTTTTAACAATTATATTTTATAATAATATAGCGAAAGTTTAGTGTAAAGGTTTATATTAGTACAAGTTACGACAAAGCATTATACACCATGCAATATTTGAATACAATGCAATAATTGTTTATATATAAATAATTGTGTAACATATTAGTAACAGGGAAGGTTTCATGAATATACTTGCAAAGTTATGGCCAGAATGAGCATTAAAAAAATCAATTATAAATGCAAGTAAAAAAGTTTCAAGATTTCAAGTGGAAGACTCAGTGTTGAGTAAATGCAGAAAAATAAGTTCTTAAGAGCTGAGATTGTGTATTAATGAAATTACTGAAAATAATCAATCATCAACACCACTATCAATTTATCTACAAAAAATATTCATTATAGCTCAGCAAGCTATTGGAAACATAAATAATAAAATGCCATGGAGGCTTGTCAAACAATATCTGATAAATAAATATCACTTGAAGAAATACCCAATTTGTTGCCTGTAACCAGAGAGACACCAATAATGAACAAGAAAAATGTTATTTACCCAAGTTCACAGCTCAATGGAGAAGAAAAAAAAAATTAAAAAAGGTTTTATCAATCAAGGAAGTCAAAACCATAAAGGAGTAAGCTAATAAAGAAAGGAAATCCAAGCAACAACAACAAATTGAGGCATTCTATATATGTAAGGAAGAATGTACATGTGGCAAAATTTTTTTTGTAGTAAATAAACTTAAAGAATGCTTGTGTTGCAATATTACTATATCCTTTTAAGCATGTAGATTTTGTTTTAAAATCTACATGCAGTAAAGCAATATGTCGAGGTGAAACAGATTCAAAACCAATTATGATCAAACCATTTTGTGAAAATGGAACCAAAAATGTCTTCAGTTTAAATCTAATGAAGATAACATTGAAAACTTTTTTCCTATGTCTGATTCCTTCCAACTGCAAACCCACTGCAAAGGGTGTTGCTACTAAATATTAAAAAAAAACTTAAGTCTATTATAGAACACCAAACTAGCATATGTAAATATAAAAGTTATAATAATAAATTTGTTAAAAAGTGTAAATAATATTTACTATTTTTTTACTATATTATAATTATTGTTCATTCTAATATCTCATAATGATTAAAATACATTAGACTATAACAGTTAATTATTAAATGCTATATATATATATATTGCAATTTTTATTTATAAAACTCTGTAAATTGTATTAGTATCTTTTTATAAAGCTTTTCATTATTGACAGTATTAAGTTTTATCAATAAAACTCTATAAGTTATATTATTCTTAAAAATTATAAGTACTTCAAACAGTTTTATTTTTAATAATAAAATTGGAACAAATAAAAAAATAACAACCATTATATTAATTTTAAACAAATTTTTAGAGCAGTTGTTAAGTTTACTTAAGCATTAAGTTTAACATTAGAAACCATTGAACTCTAATCAAAATACTGACAAATGTGCTTCTTACAAATGTGCTTCTTACATATGACAAATGTGCTTCTTACATAACTTTGTGGATTCAGGCTGGATTGGAATCTTTTATTCCCTCTCGACAATTCCAGGTCAAGCCTCACTCTTCTCCTTGGTTTTCCTCACATTGCGCTGCAGCAATTTCTAATCGAAACCGTTACTTCCATATCTATCAGCAAAACAATTCTCCAGAAAACAGACATCTGTTCACTATCGCCAGAAACCATTGTAAAAAGGTTTTGTCTGACGCCAAAGCTCGCTATTCTCAGGTCATTAAATCTCGTATCTCATCACAAAAATTAGGCTCTCGAGACTTCTGGAGAATCTTTAACAGTATCAATAATAAGGGCAAATCTGTTATTCCTTCTCTCTTGTATGGTTCAGACTTTGTCACCTCACCTAAAGACAAAGTTGAATTGTTTGCTAAGAACTTTTCATCAATATCATCTCTTGATTCCACTAGTTGCATTCTACCTGACATAGCCGTCAAACAGGTTGATCCCTTGCTTGACATTCGCATTACTTTAGCTTCTGTATCAAAAGTAATTTCCTGCTTAGACTCTTCAACAGCTTGTGGTCCTGACAACATTCCTGTTGTAGTCTTGCAGAAGTGTTCTCCGGTGCTTTCATCCATACTTTCAAAACTATTTAACAAGTGCTTATCAGAGTCTTGTTTTCCATCATGCTGGAAAGCAGCATTAGTTATCCCTATTTTCAAAAATTCCGGAGAGCGATCTGATTCATCTAACTACCGTCCCATTAGTCTTCTTCCTGTCATAAGCAAGGTTTTTGAATCTTTAATCAACAAACACTTAATCTCTCATCTTGAATCAAATAACTTACTTTCTGATCACCAATATGGATTTCGATCTTCTCGTTCTACAGCTGATTTGCTAACAGTAATAACCGATAGGTTTTACCGTGCATTAGATAGAGGTGGAGAGGTTAAGGCTATCGCACTTGACATTTCTAAAGCATTTGATAAAGTTTGGCATGCTGGTCTTCTCCATAAGCTTTCTTCTTATGGTGTATCTGGTAACATTTTTAAGATTATTGAGTCCTTTCTTTCCAATCGTAGTATAAAAGTTGTCCTTGATGGACAACACTCTTCTTTATATCCTGTAACTTCAGGGGTTCCTCAAGGTTCAATCCTTGGCCCTATACTCTTTTTAATTTACATTAACGATCTCCCAGATATTCTCACATCTAAGGTGGCATTATTCGCTGACGACACTACCATTTACTCTTGTCATGATAAGAAGCCTACACTCTCTGATTGCCTGGAGGGGGTATCTGAGCTTGAAAAGGATCTCACTTCTGCTACAGCATGGGGCTCACAGTGGCTGGTGAACTTTAATTCAGATGAAACTCAATTTTATTCGGCCAATCGTTATCGTAATAATTTAGATCTTCCTATATTTATGAATGGTAATGTACTAGATGAGTCATCTACCATTCATCTTCTAGGATTAACTCTTACTTCTGATCTTTCTTTTAAACCGTATATCAAATCCATTGCAAAATTAGCATCTGCTAAGGTTGCATCTCTTTATCGAGCTCGACACTTTCTTACTCCAGATTCTATTCTCTATCTCTATAAATCTCAAATCCGTCCCTGTATGGAATACTGTTGCCACATCTGGGGCGGATCTTCTAATGATGCGCTTTCTCTTTTAGACAAGGTGCAAAAACGCATTGTAAACATAGTTGGACCTGCTCTGGCAGCCAACCTTTGTCACATCGTCGTGATGTTGCTTCTCTTTCACTTTTCTACAAATGCTATAATGGGCACTGCTCTAAAGAGCTAGCGTCTCTTGTGCTATCTACTAAAATTCATTCTCATGTTACTCGTCATTCAATTAAGTCTCATCCTTTTTCTGTGACTGTTCCTAAGTGCTTCAAAAACTCTTATTCTTCTAGTTTTTTTCCTCGAACATCAGTTCTTCGGAATTCGCTTCCTTCATCTTGCTTTCCTGATTCATATAATTTGCAATCTTTTAAGTCATCAGTCAATCGTTATCTTGCTCTACAGATTTAGTCTTTTCTCTTCCAGTAACTTCCAACTCTTATAGTGGTTGCTTGCAGCCTTGTTGGAAGTGAAGATGTTAAAAAAAAAAAAAAAAAAAAAAATTTAAACCCAAATCATTGGTTCAATACTTTATTGCAACTGTTTTAAATCACTTAATTGGCTGAAATAAGGCAATCAACCTTTATATTGAGCACACATTTTATAAAATCTTAAATTTCAATATTGTCCCCTTTTAAAGTCTCCTAATCCTACCTTAACTAATAATATTGTTGGTTGTATGTTGGCCTTATTATAAAAAGAGTTGCTCTTGTTTGTTTAGTATGTTTATTTGTGAACTAATTAATATTGTTTTTGTTTTTTTTTATATTTTTGATAATATCTAATTAATATTATTATTGATTTAAATTAGATCAAAGTTGTTGACCGATCAAATGAAAGAAAAGTATTTGAAGAGATAGTCAGAAAATTAGATAAAAAAGAAAATGAATCATTACCTCAAGTAAAACTTGGCAAATATGATGTAAGCATTTTTTTTTTAATTTTTGCTATTTTAATTAAAAAGAAAAAAATCTTATGAATATTGATATTGTATTGAAAAATAAAAAAAGTCATGAACTTGAATGAGTATTATTTTTTCAAGCATATAACAGCTCTAAAGCAGCATTATGTTAACATGATCTTCTCTATATACAAATCCAGAATTTAAGTATATTAGTAATGAAATTAAAATCTTTATGTAACTATGGTTTTTAAATGATACTGCTATATTAAATGAAGTTTTTAAATAAAACATTTCCATAATAATTTATTTTAATACACTTTTATCTCCTCAAAAGATGCACCAATCAAGGAAGCTATTCATTGTTTAATGTTACAGGCATCAGTCAATCTTATAACTTAAAAATACAATTAGGATTTTTGTAGGATTTAAACTCTATACTTCTTGCTCTATACTTATGACTGCTTCTCCACTGCACCACTATTATATTATTTTTAGACCAAATTGACTAGTTAGATAACTAAGTGTAAGTCGACACTTAGTTTATTTTTGTGGTTTTGATTATTTTTTTGGTTATTTATTTCTATTGATATGACTGTGCTGGTGTTAAAAATTGGTTATTTAATTCAAGTGTATATAATTATTTTATTTTTATAAAGCTTGTGTAAGATTTGTTTTAGCTATGTAAAAATAAATTTAATCAAAATTCTTTATCAGTTTCAGTTTGGTGATATAGACTTTATGATTGAAAAGAAAGATATTATACCAATAGCAAATATTGGCCAGGTTAGTTATAATTTCCAATTTGTTTTAAGTGTTCTTTTTTTTTTTTTTTTTTTTTTTTAATTTTTTCTATTAAAAAGGTTTGACTTGAAAAAACTGTAAATTGTCAGGATAAATATACATATATATATATATATATATATATATATATATATATATATATATATATATATATATATATATATATATATATATATATATATATATATATATATATATATATATATATATATATATATATATATGTATATTTTCTTATTTGTTTAGAGTTTAGTAGAGTTTGAGTTTATACCAAAGCTAGATGAAACAGATGTTACAAAACCATGGATAAGAGTGAACCCATCATCTGGTTTTATTATGCCTGGTAAGTATCATTTGTTGATGTTGTTGAGTTATCCTCTTTTTTTGAAGAATAAAGTTGTTAATTCCTGTTTTATTATGTCTCTCTTTTCTGATAAAAGCGAAGTTTAAAATCATTGTTTTATGTCGTATTGATATTCTCTGTGATTATTTTAAATCTAAATTAAATTAATCAAAGCTTGTTCTCTTTTTAATTAGGTTTTTATATTTTAATATTTAATAGTATACCAGGCCAGATTATACCTCTCATAATGTGTATTGGTTCAAATGATAAATAATATACAAGAATTTGGTGTTTTTCTAGAAATTTGAGTAATGCATCTTTAATTTCTACAATATAAAATTTATTTTGTTTTAATATATTGCTAAAATGATTATAAAATATTATATCAAAATGTAAAAGAAAATTTAACAAAGAAAATGATATTCTAGTATACTGGAACCTTTATTTAGTAATGATGTGCAAGCTGTAATCAATATATTTTATTTAGTAAAGATGTGGTGCAAAGTCACTAGTTTTGAGTTTTTGAATAAATAGTTTAAAAAATTTTTTTTCAAAAAAATTTAGTAAAAAAAATAAAAACAATTTTTTATTTTATTTTTAATTTATTTTCTTTGTTTTAATTTTTCTAATTATAATGCAATTATTGCATAATTGTTGTGTTAATTGTTGCACTAGGCAAATATGAGTAATCTTTACCAGACCTGACTGTAATCTGATGTGTTTAGATCTGTTATTATATTCTTAGATGTGTTTTTACCTTTAGATAGATTTAAAGGGGTTTAAATGTCTTCATATATATTCTTATGTATTTAGTTGTGCTATTATGTGTTCAGATTTTTTCTTATAAATATTTGCAAATTTTGTTAAGGTAGCATTGTTGACATTTTAATTGATTAATTATTATAGTTTTATTTATATGTGTTATTTTAAAATTTGTAAATTATTAAAAATAATAAAAAATTAATAAATAACATATAACAAAAAGTTAAAGTATGAAATTAATTTATGAACAAATTGATAAATAAAACATCAACCTTTAATTATGATTTTTTCTATGAAAGCCTATTATGATTGATTTCAATGTTTTTCCACATAGCTTAAAACATAGTTGAAAATACAATGTTATAGTTAATGTACATAATATTTTAACTATGTTTTACATTATTTATGTTTAAATAGATTTATATTTATTAAGACATTTTTAAATAAGACATTTAGAGAACAAGATTTATTTTTTAGGTGATGTTACCGAAATAGAACTATTTGTATTAGTTGATAAATTATCTGCACCTCTTATAAGTTTGGAAAAATTTCGAGTTGATGATATCTTGGTTCTTCATTTAGTTGATGGGAAAGATTTTTTTGTATCTTTTATATGTATAATAGTTTTTTACATACATACATACGTTTAGATATTTTTTGTGTGCATGTGTGTGCATGTATATATATATATATATATATATATATATATATATATATATATATATATATATATATATATATATATATATATATATATATATATATATATATATATATACATTGTAAGTTAACAAAAACATAGTAAAGTTTTTTTTTTCCAAAATTTAGTTTAAAAGCTTAAGTTTTTTAATAATATATGCCAAAAAATATTAAATGTTATGTTTTTACATTTAAAGTTTTGAATAGTGATGCTTAGTTAAAGCACATTTTTATTTTAAATTTGTGTAATATAAGTTGAAACTACATGTGTTTACTAAAGTTCTGACGCTTTTTCGTTAACAAAATGAATTGTCATTTAGTAATTCTTATTTCGTCGCATTTGTTTGACAAGGTTCCAACTGAAACTTTTTATATTAGAAGAATTTAAAGGAAAAATTCTTTTTTTTTTTTTTTTAATGTTAATTAAAATTATTTATATTATTGTTTTTTTTTATTTTTTCATGTATTCTTATTTTGGTTGACATATAAATATACATAAATAACTAAAAATAAGAATTATATAAATATTTTTATTTAGACATAAAAAAAAAAGAAAGATGTATTTGCTATTCTCCTAATATAAAAAAAATCAGTTAGAACCTTTTTTATTTTTGTTTGAGTAAAGCAAATTATTTGTTAATGCAATTAAGTGGGGTCATCCATAAAGCACATTTCCCTATATTTGTCAATTTTTAACCCCTTCCCTGCTGTCATAAACAATCACATATACCTTTACCCTATCCCTTCTAAACTGTGATAGCAGTTTTTATGTAAAAAATGTTTTAATAGAAAAAGATTTAAATGTAAATGTACTTTGCAGCATTTTATAAATTCAACCTAATAAAAATAAGGCAATATCATAAATGTAAGAAGTGTAAGTAAAACCTCTGGTAAATCAAAAATTTTCTTTTTTAAATGAGTCAATTAAGTATTAATAAAGTTGTATAATTAAAATAATTTTCAAAGTTGGTCTTGCAGAAAAATGATGTGATAACTTTCATAAATGTTATAAAAAATCACTCAAAAGAGTGCTACCAGTTTTTTAAAATTTCATTTTTTAATTATTTTTAATGAATGAGTTCAATACTTTTGCAATTCTTTTGTTACATAAATGTAACTCTTAATAATAGATATAAAATAACCATAATGATAATCGCTCGGTAAACTAAGTTAAATATATAGTATCAAAAAAACTAGTTTATTTTTCTTATCCGGTCACTTCTGATAAATTTTTAAATATTTTTTAATTGGTATAGAATTCTTAATACCTTGTGGTAGTTTCTAATACAAACTGCTTTATTGATTCACTGAAATCTAACCAAAAAGTTTGCCCTCTATTAGGTAGACTTGTAACTTTTTTGCTTATTTTATCATTTAGACTAACAGCTTTCGTACAAATTATCTAAAAGTTTAAATAGGCAAATATGCTGTTTAAATAGGCAAATATTTGATAAAGTTGTTGCACGTGTAACGTAAGTTAAATATATGATTGCCTATATATAGAATTTTATATAAATATGTATGTATATATATATAGAATTCTATATAAATATTTATAAATTAAATTCATTCTATATATATGTATATACAATATGAACTGAACCAGAGTTTTTAAAAAAATACAAAATTGTGTTTTATTTTGTTTTCAATATATTAGCACTGTCGGGATTATTACAGTAGTAAAGTACTAATTTTTACGACTTTTTACACCTTTTACCCCAATGCACAAGCATTTTTATCTAGTGATAAACATCTTTTGACTTAGTTTTGCACCATACTTGATGAAGGAAATATCTTTATTATTTTTCTCAAATTAATTTAATAATTTTGTGTGCAAATCAATTGACTATATTTATATCTAAAACAATTTTCTATTTTCATAAATTTTTATTGTTTAAATTTATCGTTTTTTCGTTTTATCGTTCAAAGACTATTTAGTTGGAAGAGTAAAAGTAAGCAACTCAGGAAAAGGGGAATAAAAACTCACACTCTAGTCGTCTTTTAACAAATGATGAAATAATGATCTATGAGTAAACAAGTCAATAAAAATCCGCTGGTTTATAATGGTATTCATAACTAAAATAATCGCACCATACAAATGTCTAATAAATGTGGTACTATATATGTTCTAAACTCTAGATAAAAAATTGATAAATGATAATCATCTGTGTAACATAAAAAATATATAAATGTCGTAAATGTAACAAACTCATAATAAAAAGCTCATTAAGCGCAAAAATACATGGGTTTAAGAGGTAAAAAAATGTTGGTGCCATAATAACCAATTAGAATTAAGTAGTGGATAAATGGTGATCCCCCTCCTCAGGAATGCACTGCGATCACCAATGACGTTTCGGGGGCCCGAGACTTGCACTAACGCCACTCGTCAGGGGCGTGTCCTTGCAACAGATCTCACCGCCTGCACTCTACGTCATGCTAGTCAATATTGCAATATAATAGGACTACACTACAAAAGCCAAAAAACCAATCCCTATCCCAGTTTTTGAAAACAGCTCCAACATTCTTAGAGATCCCGTGAGGGTGGTGAGGAATGCGCGTGGTGTGACCATAAATAGATATGTAAACACATACAAATATAAGGTACCCTTACATTAGAAGAAACAAACTTGTACACATGTACGTATGCGCGTGTGTAAATAAACAATTATAATGTGTAGAAATAACAAAAAGCGAATAGAAAATAGTAATTAATAATTAATAGTAACTTACCGTTTCTTTTATGGCTGAAATATGTATTATAAATATAATAAGTAAATACCACTCATAAGCATTGATACTAAGTTAGGATGTTTTGTGGTTAGTACGAAAGTAGTTAAACGAAAGTATGATAAAAAAATGTATAACTCTAAATAGTATGTTCTAATATAAATCTTGCCTGGTAAGTAGAGACAATAGCTATCACACAAAACAGACTCAGAGTAATTAAATAACGATTAGCCAGAGATAAAAAAATATACGAACATCAAATCAGTAGGCAGAAAATAATGAGGAAATAAAAAGATAAGCCAATATATGCAATTTTAAACTAATAGCTTATAACCACTAAAAAATGTAACGTTAAAAAACAATATTGTTGATAAAACGACCAAAGGAACGTTAGTGAAGACTGTATAGTGCAAACCACAACAAACTAACTTAGCGACGTCAAATCGAGAAAGTTAGATAGAAACAAAAAAACCTAACGAAATCGTGATTAGTCTAAACTTATCTAATGAAATTGTTCAGTATATTCCAACCAAGAATACATTTGTTATAAAAAATACGCTAATACGTACTTTTGTGTAAAATTTTCGCGCTGTTATACTTCTCACAAAACTGAACCAGAGTTTTTGAAAAAATACAAAATTATGTTTTATTTTGTTTTCAATATATTAGCACTGTCGGGATTATTACAGTAGTAAAGTACTAATTTTTACGACTTTTTACACCTTTTACCCCAATACACAAGCATTTTTATCTAGTGATAAACATCCTTTGACTCAGTTTTGCACCATACTTGATGAAAGCAATATCTTTATTATTTTTCTCAAATTAATTTAATAATTTTGTGTGCAAATCAATTGACTATATTTATATCTAAAATAATTTTCTATTTTCATAAATTTTTATTGTTTAAATTTATCGTTTTTGATACTTTTTTTAATATAATGGGAATTTCAAAGACAGAGAGTGATTTAATAAAAAAGATGATCAAAGAAGAAAATACAACTCGTAAAATTGCTTCCAAATTAAAAGTTAGTCAAAGTACTGTGCAACAAATTAGAAAAAAATGTTGGCGGTCGACCAAAGAAGTTGAGTGCGGTAGACAGTAGAAGAGTAATCAGATATTTGACTACTGGAGAAGCAAAATCGACATCTCATGCAGCTAAACTTTTGCAACGTGATATAGGAAAAAATGTAAGCAGATGGACAGTGCAGCGAGATCTCATACAAAGTAAATTTCGAGCAATTGAAAAGAAGAAAAAACCATTATTTAGTCAAAAAAAATATCAAAGCGAGGTTAAACATTGGCGGCCATCAGTGGTATACCACTGATGGCCGCCAATGGAGCTGGAAAAGAGAAGGTGAACCATTAACCCAAAAAAATTTTATTTCGATAGTAAAACAGGGGGGAGGCAATATTAAACTATGGGTGTGTATGACGGCTTATGGATTGGGACCAATTCGAAGAATAGTTGGAAATATGAATAAGTAAATGTATCTTGATATTTTACAGCACGAATTATTAACTGTTGAAAATATGCCTTACCCAATAAATGAGGTCATCTTTCAACAGGATAATGGCCCAAAGAACACTGCTAAAATGGTTAAGAATTGGTTAGCTTCGCAGGACTTTCAAGTGCTAGAATGGCCAGCACAAAGTCCTGATTTGAACCCAATAGAAAATTCGTGGTCACAATTAAAAAAAGCGCTTGTTAATTACTTATTTTTTTACTCGTTATTTAAAATTCTGACCCTCCGTCATTCATTAATGTGTTATATGAATGAGTTCAAGAGCAGTGGGAAATTATTTCGTTAAACCTTTGCGAAAATCTTGTAAAGAGCATAAATAGAAGATTAGCAGCAGTTAAAAAAGCTAAAGGATTATGGACAAAATATTAAAAATTGACAAGATTGACAAAAATTGACAGTTTTCTTTGCAAGGTGCAAAAGTGATTCACCATATTTTTCATTTATTATTTTGTAAGTAAATATTTTTCTACAATAAATACTTAATAAAAATTTTTTAATTATAATTCCTACAAGCAATATTAATTCTCAAAATGCTAAATTCTTTATAAGAAAATAAAAATATTATGCATTCTGGTTCAGTTTTGCACCATACTGTGTATATATATATATATATATATATATATATATATATATATATATATATATATAT